GAGCTCGTTAGCCCTGTAAGGCAATCCATCTACGTCCTGAGGACCTCACTGCCACCGTCCAAGCTCGCTTGGCCCCGGCAGATGAACCTCAGGATTAAAGGGTGGGCTCAGTTCCGCGCACACTGTGTCTCACCTAAAAAATCCAATGCGCAGGCTGGAAGGTGGAAAGACCTTCCCCGGTTCTTCGTTAGCGAAGACTGGCCATTATTATTATTATCAGTCTTTCCTTCTACAAAAGATGCTCCAGTCTCTTAATCATTTTAGTGGCTACTTGCTGGACTCTTTCTAGTAAGTCTGCCTCTCCCTTGTACTGGAAAGCCCAGAATTGGAGTCAGAACTCCAGCTGTGGCCTCACCAGTGGTGAGTAGAGGGGAACCTTTCAGCCTTAATTTTTTTCAATCCAGTCTCTGCCCTGTTTTATTAGTATAGTCACACAGTAAATGAAAACAAGTCCAACAAGTATAACCTTGAAGGAGTAGCTTTTGCACAGGGCAACCCTCACTCAAATTGTGATCTCTTACTCATTTAATATAGGTGTAACTGTTAGTTAAGTTACTTTGAAGTAGTCAGCAGCAGCTGTGGGGCTAAGGACTCTGAAAGGTGGAGTATGGAATCTGAATAACTCCAGCGTGCTGTGCCCCTTGGCTAGGATGATTGTGTATACCTCTGCTATTTGTTGAATGTCCTCCAAGTGTTTCACTGAATGAGGGCACTTACTTGAATCACCTGTAGGGCCTTGAGCTAGCTTTCACCACCTGCACAGCAAAAAGCCGGTACTTGTCCTTGTGCTGATACTCATGGCATGGTAATTTTTTTCCTGGAAAGTGGTATTTGTAAGCCATAAACTCCTATAATTGGATGTTGTACTGACTCATGTAATTTCTTTGTGTTGGTTGGAGGTTATCGTGTTGTTAAGACTTTGCTTTTTGTTATTTCAGCTCACAGCTTTTGGAGGAGATTTGAAGTATACGGTATCTTATGACATTCCAATGGAGAGTGTGGACAGTGATATAGTATCTAGTGTGGATGTCATCATTCAGGTGGATTTTTTTTTTTTTTTCAACTTGTTACTATTCAGACATTATTAGGAATCTATGAAGGAGTTAAAAAAAATACTTCTATAGCAGTAGTTTTGTCAACTTTAGGTCCCTTAAAAGTCACTATCAAGATTTTATTACTACTTATTTCTCTGATTTTCTGACCCATTTGTCTGAAATTGTAAGTATACAATAGTAGTTTTAAATGATAAATAACTAAAATTCAATCTGTGTGTAAAGGGGTGGGGTGTTTCTTAGCATTTCTACAAAGCTGTGTTTATAAAGCTACAATGAACTGGGGGGACTCTCATTTATGAAACAGATGAGTGTTCTTGATGATTGCTTATTTTTCTGGATTTATGTTGCAGTTAAAAAGTAAGGCTCTATATTGAATCCAGGCACCTCCAGAAGCATTATTTTTTAATATATACATAGCAATAAAACAAAGGAAAGAAGAGGTTCTGTTTTGTAGAGGTGTTTGATTTTTTGAAATTTAATTTATTCTTTTCCATAAGAAAATGAGGTATTTCTGCAGTTTCTGAAACAAAAGAGAATGGGATTGTAGTCTTTCTTGAAGCCATGGAAAATTTAGACCTTTTACTTACCTAATGCAAGAAATTGTTTGATTGCCTCTTTTCTGTATTAAATGGGTGTATATTTGACACTGAATGTAATTGTTTAATAAATTTACATACAAATGTGGAAAATGTTTTCTCTGTCTTTCGATTTCAGGGTAATGGGCAGATTCTGAGTACAAGAGCAGAGGGCTTGTCATTACAGCCATACGAGGAGTACTCTAATGCAGTGAGATTTGTATCGGAGAATTTCATAGAGTTCAATACGAAAAAAGCTATAGACCGGGAAATGCTGATGACTGTTCTGGTGAACGTGACCCATCTTCTGATCAGGGCTAACTACAATATTGCCAAGAAAGCTGTGTACAGGTGAGTGAGACAAAATATTGAAGTTCATCTATATACTTCTATGATTTTTCTGCATATGGATAATTATTCTTAGTAGAGTATTCCTGAGGTTTTATTTTAATATTTTCTAGAAAAAATTATATTTATTGAATTTTCTCAAGACTGGTCTTGTCCCCAAAATGCAGTTTTATGGAGTGTGTGGAAAGGGGCATTTGGTTTTAAAGATATCTCATAGCAGAAACATTGTTTTGAGCTTTAAAGGAATACTTCATAAAATCCTTATTACAATGGCTGCTTTGTTTAGAGGGAAATACCTCCAAAGCTCTCAACAGTATGCTTATTTTGGTATGTGGCAAGTTAATCCTTTACTGACTATTGAAAAGTAAAGACATTGGTTGTAGTTTCTTTTGAAGTTTTTTTTTAGATGCTATTGATACTCATCTCTAAGAGAGTGGTTAATTGTGCTGGAAATGACTAGCTGATCATTCCATAGTCTCAAACCAGCATTGGCAGTATCTGTGTCAGACCACAGAGATCTCTATTTTACCTGTTCTCCAAGATACAGTAATAAAGTTGTATCGCTCTCCAGAGAATAAGCTCATCCTTCTCGTTCTTAGTTTCCTTAGACTCACCAACAGCCTTCCTTTCTCATTCCCTAATTTGGTAGCATTTTATGCCAATAAAATAGGACTTAATGGCAAATTTGGTTTGTGCCCTTTTGTGCACCAACACCATTCCAAGTGATATTTCTGTCCACTTAGGTATAGTGTGTTCATCTTTATGGAAAGTTTGTAAAGATTTCTTAAAAAAAATTTTGCCTGTGGCTGAGAATATTGTCTCTGCTGCAAAAGACCACTGTTTGTATTAAGAGATTTTGTTTTGTTCTGTTGTGTTCAGTATCAATGAGCTGGTGCTGTTTCTCACTACTTGCCACCTGTGATACGTGTCTATTTTAAACATGGTGCCAGTAAAGTTGCCTTACTTCAGGACAGCTGTAGAAGTCTGGCCCACTGAGGTACCTCTAATACCACAACAGAGGGGGAGGGTTTTATTTAAACCACTCCACAGGAAAAGAGACAATTGCTAGTAACATTAATGATAACAGGAGGAGGGCACATCTACTCCCAGAATTAGAAATGCTGTGATAAGATCACAGTCATAGACTTTTTACAGCAGAGATTTGTGCCTGTTCCTCAGCTGTCCCTGCCAGGGATCAGCACTCAGTGGTGTTACCCTCCCTAGAAGCAAACTCCTGTTTGAAATCCAATTTGGGGGAACAAATGATGAGATATTTTCCTGCTTGATCCTAGGCTGGACTCTGTGACCCTGGATACTGCAAGTGCAAATGTTATAGATCTTTCTTCAGCACCAG